GTGGGGGATCGCCAAAGTGTTTACGGTAAGATTTTCATGTAGAAATTAGTTGAGCATTATTGCGGAATTAAGGGATTATTGTTACTACGGTAACAGTACATGTATAACGTAATTTTCAGTCGTTAATGTAATTTAAAGCCTCTAAAATTCTTAAAATTAAAAAGGCGTTAAATTCTTTTCTCACAATTTAAATTGTTTAATTATTGAAATTTTGAGGTTTTGAAAGTAAATTTACGCTGCAGCAAGATAGTGGCAATGACAAAATATTATAAATAGGCAAATAGAATATAATCTTTCTGCTGAAAATGAAAAATAATGTACCGTATTACAAGCGATTAGAAAAACAAGAAAGAATAGGAGTACTATAAGTTCCATGTACGCTAGAGCGGTAAACTTTACTTCATATATAATTATTATTTTAAATAACACTTAAAACAACCATTAACCTGGGTAGCTGCGGTATTGTTAAAGTTCTCAAATTCAAACATGTGCACAAAAAGAGCTAATAATTTTCATTTTTCAATTCAAAAATGAAGATAAAAAGAGACCATATTGCAAACAAATATAATAAACAGCAACATGAAGAACACGCTTATGATAAATAATGTGTTTGATTTATTCTTCTATGAGAATTCGAACGAGTAAATTCTTCGTTGATTTGAATACATGTATCAAACTTTAATTTCAGAATCCTATTACGTAATGTATTTATCGGTAACACCCTGTATGAAACTATCCGATAATTTTCCGAAACTCCGAAACCATGCAGGCCGTGCTACTGCTTAGAAAAAGTTTCATTTAAATATACTATTATTACGTACTGTTCTTAAAAATGATTATTAATACGTGTAGTTTATTGCTCGAAAATCAAAGTTTGAAAATATGTATTATGACTTTTGTCGAAGCTATGACTTATGTGATAAGTATTTGTTTAATTAAGAACGTTACGGTTAAGACTGATTTAAAGTTAAACCTAACCTAATACATGTATCACAATGCCGGCAACAGATTGATACAACACGGGGGCATGAAAATCTTTCATTAATTGATGTACATTGCATTTAACCAAAAATTGATCCATACAATTAACGTTAATTGAATTTTCAATTTGATTCAGGTTGATGTTCATTGCATTTAACCAAAATTGATCCATACCATTAATTTTCAATTTGTGCAGATTCGAAAAAAAGAAGAAACTAAACCGATTTTGATTTAGATAAATAGTCAGGTCAGGGAAATAATATTACGCTTGATTTTCAGCGTGGAGTTATATATCTTTAAACTAACAAACAACAATGGATACCAAAGTATCAACAAAAAATAGCGAAAAAACTCATCTTGCATCAGAAACAAATAATGAGAAATTCGATTGCTTTCAAGAGTATGAAGAAAAGGTGTTGCTACGGAAAATAGACTATAGATTCATACGTAAGTGAAACATCCATCTACTAAATCATTCAATTTAATCTTAAACACAATGGTAAATTTCTATTCCGCATTTATAACAAAAAAATGCAGCTCTTTTTGCAGCAATGTTTTTCTTTAGCCAAATTGATCGAACAAACATTGGCAATGCAAAAATCACATCTTTTCCGAAAGACATCGGAGTAAATGCGGACCAATTTCTTGGGGCAATCTCGATATTTTTTCTTGGTTATGCGATATTCGATGTGCCAAATAATTTAATGTTAAAACATTATGGTGTTCGTTTTTGGCTGTCGTTTATTATGGTCGGATGGGGTATTTGTTCAATGTCGATGGCTGCTGTCGAAAATGTTGGTGGACTTTATGCTCTTCGTGTCTTATTGGGTAAATAAATGTATTATATTCTACCGGTTTCTCTTTATACTAAACAAATCAAATTTATAAGTTTATAATATTATTAAATTTAGGTTCTTTTGAATCGGGACTTATTCCAGGATTAGTGTATTAAGCAGGATTTTATTATAAACGTTCCGAAATAGCATTTCGACTTGGTTGCATTTTTGCACTTGCCACGATTGGAATTGCATTTAGTGGTGTCTTGGTAAATACGAATAAATCGAATAAATACTCTTAAATATTTGATCTCATATTATAGTTTATCTACTATAGGCTTATGGAATTTTGCAATTAGAAGGATATGGTGAACTCAAAGGCTGGCAATATTTGTTTCTCATCGAAGGAATAGGTCCAATTTTATTTTCGACAGTTGTTTTTTTTTGGATGCCGGAAAACCCCGAAGCGGCAAAATTTCTTACGCCAAAAGAAAAAAAACTGATCAAATTCCGACTAAAATTCGAATCAACGTCAGCGATTACAGATCGTGAAGTAGCACGCAAACAAATAATCGCGTTATTAAAGGATTGGCGAACATACATGTACTGTTTAATCTCATTCACTTCAGGCGTGACACAATACGTTTTTGGATTTTTCTTGCCCACCATTTTAGTGTCGTTTGGTTATGATGCGCTGAAAACACAATTGATGTCTTCGCCGCCACAATTCTTTGCACTATTGATTATTTTGCCGGTTGCTTATTCTTCTGGACGATTTCTTGAACGGGGATACCATATTGCAGGATCATGTGCTTTGGCGTTGGCTGGATTTATACCGTTGATTGCGTATGAAGGACACAATACTAATGCAAAATACATTTTTACTACCCTTGCGTTAACCGGCACTAATGCTTCTATTTCGGTAATTCTTGCTTGGTATCAAAATAACATTGGCAAGTCTTTATTTATTCATCTATCGCTGTCATTTAATGAAATCACCAATCAATAAATTTCTAATAATTAATTAATCAAAAAATTAGCTGGCTCATATAAAAGACCAGTATCAATAGCATTAATTCTTGGCTTCGGACAGCTTGGAGGAATCGTAGCCGGTCAAATATATCGCGCTCACGACGCACCAAGATATCTTCGTGGTCACATAATCGCAATGAGTTTCATCATTTTGCAAGCGGTCGCCTCGTTAGGTCTTAAATTTTATCTTGTGCGCGAGAATAAACGACGTGATGCATTGCCTAAAGATCCACGGTACCCTCCAGACGAAACTTTCAATGAGGAATTGTGTGACGATCATCCGAATTGGCGTTATGTTACTTAAAATTAGAACAAATACATGTAATCAGTGTGACATGAAGACATGCAGATTATGAAGATACAGAAATCTTAAATTCTTGTTCCATAATTTTTAACATAATTTAACATGATTATCATTTCTATAATTAAAATATTAACGTTAATACATGTATTATCGTTATATACATGTACATGTATATACCGATACGAACATGTACGTACGTAATTTAACATTACACATAAAACTAACACCAATTTAACAATTTAACTTTTAACCTCTTTTTAACACCCATTTGTAATCAATTTCTATTATTTGTCATATTTAACACCTTTTAACACCTTGTTCAACATTAATTTGTCATTTAGAATTGTCTTTGTGAAATCTAACACATATCTAACATGTAGTACTTATCTATATAACAAAATCTAACATTGGTAGTAATGCCAATCATGTAATTAGTGTAGCTCTAAATTTTGTATAAAGAAGAAGCTCATGCTCTAATCAATAAAAGTGCCAACTTGTAATTAAATACTTACTGGTTAACAAATCTTTTCACTTGATTAATCAAATCTTGCATACAAGTAGTAGAAGATCTCTAAATAAGCCATACCTTGATTTTGACTTTGTTGATTTTGTTATATCAGTATTATTTTGTTTAGGTAGTTTCAATAATTTCTATGTTATTTAATTGAATTACAATAATTCCAGAATAGTTGTAGTAACAGTCAATTGAACAACTAATAACTTGACTCATACCTTATCGTTATGGACAAAAAAAATTTTGCCAGTCTAATATAATTTTGGATGGACTTCTTTATAAATTAAAGGCTATAATTGTAATTAATGAAGATTGTTGACTTAACAAAGCGATTGCACAACTAATATTTAAGTATATAATGATAATTTTGTTTCTCTTGTAAATGGGAAATTCAGCTATTTCTGAGCAAATACAGTCCCCAGCGAAAGTAACAACATCCAGTTTTTTATTATCTAACTGTATATAATAAAATTTGAAAAAATATTTTGAAAGTGTCTCCGAGTAGGGCATTATATCCTTAAAATATCAGTATTTGTGTGCTCTCTTTCCGTGTCAATGCAAGTTCGAATATAATTTAATGTTCTAACTTGAAAACTAACAATTGCAATAAGTTCGACTTACCGATGTGTACTTCTATTAGACATTTGCAAATTCATCAGATTTTTATTTTTCTTTAATTATTAGCTTGCTAAAAATTTATCTCTATTATCATAGTAAAATCTATCTCACCACTGTTACTTTCACTGGTGACTGCAGTAAATAATGGATAAAATTGTAAGAAAAATACAAGGCATTTTATATAAAAACACATAAAATTTCAGTAATATGCATAATTGGCATAGTACGAACGGAAATAAACTCTTATTTATTGAGAAACATTAAAGATATACTTTCAAGTCTATGCACCCATTCTGGAAGTATTACTCAATGAAAAGACAACTAAGCATTAGCAAACCATGTAAATTTCTTACGAGAAAAATTATCTCTATGTCATTTATCGTGTTACTCATTCTGAAGATTTCTCATAGAAATAACCTAACTAAAAAATATGAATAGTGGAATAGAACATTGGTGTGAAATGTAATAACAAGCATAAATATTAGAAATTTGTACGTAATCATGTACATAGCAATTGTGACTCTCGATAATGATAAGCGGGATTGGAAAATTAACTCTAGAATTTTATTTCCATGACTATTAGTTTGAACAAAATAAAAGTGTTCATTTGAAACCTCTAATATTTTTAAAAATAATTTGACAACATATTATTTTGTGAAATAATCAAATTTACAATTAATAAATTTCTCACATTGAACTTTTTTTTCCAAGATAGGTCCTAATTTGAACCACTAATTAAAAATGTTCTACTATATGAAATCTACCTATTTACCAATTTTCATAAAAATTGGCTTAATATTTATAGATATTTAATAAATATCCTAAAGTCTGAATGTATGCTATGAGCATTAATACATGAATTAATGTTCCTAGCATAGATTCGGTCCTTCGGGGTCTCAAATCTCGGTGAATTTTGGGCCAATTTTTATGAAAATTAGTAAATAGGTAGATTTTATAGAGTAGAACATTTTTAATTAGTGGTTTAAATTAGGATCCATCTTAGAAAAAAGTTGTTCAATTGAGAAATTTAATTGTAAATTTTTATCAACAGTACGCTCAAAATATCCGACCCCTCCTATTTCAGCATACGTAAATCATGCGTAACGCCAAGAAATTTTCCGAGCATGAAGAATGGCACGCACTAAATACAATGAATCTGTCACTTTAGGACGTAATAACTCGACGTCCAGTTATCCGATTTGTGCAAAAATATTACCATTCGATTCGTCTTGACAGGCGAATCAAATTGTAGTATATGTGCACAAATCGGATAACTGGACGTCGAGTTATTACGTCCTAAAGTGACAGATTCATTTTTGTTGATCAATTTTTCATTAGAAATTGATCGCCAAAAAATGAATCGGTAATTTAGGTCGTATATACGTAATAACTTTACCGTTACGTCCAATGATCCGATTTGTGCAAAATATTAGATACAATTTGATTCGTCTGGTCAAGGTGAATCGAATGGAATTTTTTATTCAAAATCGGATTAATTTTTGTTGATGTTAAAAAAATGAATCGGATACAATATTTCGACATCCAGTAATCCGATTTAATACCATTCGATTCATATGATTAGATGAATCAAGCGATAATATTTTCGCTCAAATCGGATCACTGGATGTCATGAATTAGTTGTTATTGAGATATGTGTTACAAAATAACTACATGTAGTTGTTTTTGGTACGTGAACACACAATATCCGATATAGAAGTTCTAACAATCTATATATGATCAGTATTTGTGCCATTCTTCATGCTCGGAAATTTTCTTAGCGTTACGCATGATTTATGTTGAGATAGGAGGAGGTCGGATACTTTTGAGCAGTACTGTAAATCACTATTTCACAAAATAGTCTGTTGTCAAATTATTTGTAAAAAATATTAGAGGTTTCAAGGTTTCAAATGAACACTTTTTATTTTGCTCAAACTAATAGTCATGAAAAATAAAAATTCTAGGAAGTTAATTTTCGTACATATGTGAGCTACTGTATATGTACATATATTCTTACATGTATTTATTTTTGGTGAACAATGTCTCCCATTCATCAAAATACCCCTTTCACCTTATATCAAAGCTTCTTCTCTAGATATATCAAATAAAATATCATCTTGAAAACACCTTGATAGTTCACCAACAGATTATATTGCAAGAACTGTCAATACTATAATCGATCGAGCTGGGGAAATTATGTTTTCGCTATATTTACTCAACAAATCTCTCAGCAACTACCACCAGATTGTACAATTTTTTACATACAGGAAATCTTGGAATCTATGGAACTCCATTGCAGATAAAGATTTTGATCAATCGAAATCATCGGTTTCTAATTTTACTGCTACATATTTACCAAATTCCAATTCCATAATCTACATAGACGGTAAATCTTTAAATGGAGAATTCATACCAGTGAATCAAGTATCATAGCTTCAAAACCAGTTTTTACTTTTACAAATAACTCTTAATATAGTAAAGGCATCCGGAGTATTAGTAAAATTTTTCAAAATTAGAGGATTTATTATAGACTGTTTTGGACTGAACTTTACTATACATGTATCAAGATTTTAATTAGTCTTTACTATAAGGGTAATTATTTTTAATTAGCATAGTTACCCATGTATCCATGGTGTGATTGTGGTTAGTTGTAACACCTAGCTAATTACATAAGACGTGATAACTAACTACTCCCATGTATCCATGGTAAATCTCAAACTTCTGGTTCATATTCGACAACTGCATCAAAAAAGGAGGAAATGTTAGCAGTATAGTTGGTGTGTCATAGGAGGAATTTTAGGTATTGTTTTTTTAGCTTTTGTCGTACACAAATTATATAAGAATAAGTAGAAATATTTAGAGAACAGTCATCAAGTTATTTAACCTACACTAGAATACATTACAAGTAATTCAAACAATTAGCTTTAATATTTCTTTTACTATTTTTAAAACAAAATGAAGTGTTTATTCATAAATTCTCTTTATTAGTATTTTTAAGTAAATAGATTGTTTATATGTCAAAAAATTCTAATAAAAATATTTATTTTGCCAGAATTTGGTTCTTTATGATTTTTATGGCACAAAATAATTAGATAAATAATGATTTTAAATTTTGAATATAAAAGCGAAAGTACATGTATTTGCATGAAAGACCGGTCGCAACATATGTACATAGTATGAATTAGGATTGTTACGTACTCAGTTTTAAATTGGTCCCAACTATTTTAAAAATTACTAATTCTAGAGATGTTGAATTGTTCAATCTTAGTCTTGATTATACATATCGATGTATGGGATAGTCAGCAGGAAAGGACAAATCTATTAGCATCAAAAAGATATATAACCACAGCTTTATTATAATCAATGTTATATTATAATAAGATCTATTGTAATTTTATTGATCAATCATATTTATATTATAAATAATTTGATATAAAAATAATTTATTATAAATATCAATATATTTATCTAGTAAAAAAGCTGCAAAATATATAAGAGATTTCTAAACAAGTACCAATATATTGCATATTAAAGCTTTATTCTTCTTCTATAATAATTATAATATAATTTTAGTTCAAATAATTTCAATATTTTTCAGAAGATAATTTTTGAGTTATAATTATAAGCTATTAGAAAGATTTACTTTGTAAAAGCTTAAATAATTATCAAGAAGTATTAGTTATTAAAGTATTTAAAAAACTCACTAATTATAATTTAGTAATTTAGTTTTTTTGATCTTTTAGACTTTATAATATTTTTTGAAAATATTTAGTAAAAAAATAATTGTATAATTAAAATCTTAAATAATATTTTTTATTAAAAAACAAATAAGTAATTTGTATTTTCTATTTTTCTTTTCATTAACAATTTT